TGACTTCTGTTGGTTTTTTGCTAAGCAGGAAACCACAGAAAAGCTGGATTATGGTATTTCTGTGTCACTAGTGAGAATTCAAACAATAATGCAGCCATGAACCATCTGATTCTTCTCCAATGACATCAACAGAGTTTATTGGAAGGTTTTTCCGCGAGAAATCCAGAAGACGGACCCAGATCTTTTAAGCTGATGGATCAACATTTCCTTGTGTTCTATTTCTATAATGTGGCCTTCGTTGCCCTCTCTCTGTGTAGATGGTGGAGGAAAGTGAAGAGCGTTTGTCAGAGGAGCAGATTGAGGAGCTCATCCAGACCATCTCAGACCACCTGCCCGGTGATCCGGAGCAGGAAAAGGCAGCTGCAGAGACGGATGAAGGTGGTGGACAGTCATGACTCAGGGACGGGTTTAAAATCGGACTGTATGTGGTGGTGAGGAGGCCAAAATATTGTAGAACTGGGAAAAGATGCCTTTCAAGAGCACAAATGGTGTGGAGCACCTGACCACAGAGAAAAGGGCATAATTATTCCTGTTGATGTAGAGGCAGTCACCTGTTTAACTGCTATGTCAAACGGAAAGCTGCTTAAAAGTCCTAAATTATGTGTTTTTGAATCATAACAGTAAACATGGATGTCCAAATCCACCTTTCATTAGTCGTATCCTTAGTAGATTATAGACTTGGGCATTTCATTTTATCTTTCATTAGCTAGTTGAATGCAACTCTGAAGCATTTTGTTCACTTGTAAACCCAATTAGCTTTACAATTTCCTGTAAGACAACATATTTTTCTTCCCGCTGAGCTTTGAACAACTCATTTTTGGTGCAGCTGTGTCACAGCAGGGGAAGGATGTGTTGGTTTGGACCTTTTCTGTTTTTGGCTTCCTGTTGGTTCATCACTGTAATTTCCGGTGCTTTCTGGGCACCTCGCAGAGTCAGGAAAGTAAAGCAATGTGACATTATTGGGGACTGGTTTTGAACTCGCCTGTGCACCAAATGCATTTGATGTTGGATTCAGCTGTCAATTTTTTTCCCTGTGGTTCAACATTAAAACAGTGAATGCAGGCTCTGCTGCTGCAGAAGACCACTGCATAAATGTGTCTGAGTGGGGTTAATAGATCCCCTGCAGCTATGTTTTCTTTCCCAAACTTCGTCACTGTGCACTAACACGCAGCTCAGAGATGTATCGACACACTCTTCTATTGGCAGTGTCCATCCACTCTTCTTTTTTCACAAACAACTTGAAACAAAAAAACTCACAATAAACGTTTTGTAACTATTCAGAGAAAGTATGATTTTGTAGTCAGTGAAAATGGCAATGATTTATCCCCACTTTCATACATTCAAATGTATTTAATTATGTAAGTTTCTCATTACTTATCCCTGGATCTTTGTGGGTATTTAATGTTATTGTGATTGTGTTTTGACAGCCTTACTTAAGTCTGTAGCACCTCCACACAGGCATCAATACATCAAGAGTATATCAATGTACGTTTTGAAAGAAACAAAACAAAATATGATTCTAATGAAAAGATGGGTAAATTAAATGTGGCGGCTTTAAGATCGACTCAATCCCACACTGTGATTAAATTTCCCCGGTGGGCTTTTACTGAAAGCATACCAATCGATTTGGTAAAGTAATTTTAGCCTCAAGAGGAGAGAAAAAGCTTGTTGAAGTAGCGGAAATGCCCCTTTAACGTTTCAACCAATGGGAGTCGTCCAAGCAGACTCGCCGTGCTGCGATTGACCAATCAGCGAGCAGCTTTCACCTTCTCGCTTGGCTCGTGCCATCCGTGTTTTTTTTTTTTTCTTCTTCCAAAGGGTTGAAAACGCTCGACCTCTCGGTCCGAAGTTACACTAGAACCAGCAGCAAACCCCGTTTATCCTAGTGGGTTTTGATAAAAAAAAACATTTGTTGACATTAGCCGAATATTCAGACAGAACAAAGGACAGAAAATGACGTGTCTTTGAGAACAGAAGAGGCTTTTTCAGATCTTTTTTTTTTTCAGTTCGTCTCCGGACGAAGAACATTTGGCTGTTTTAGAGCGGAGCTGGTAAGTTGACGCCAAAAATGAACCAGAATTGAATTTAAAGACGATAGTTGTAAACATACACACCAAATGAGAACATTTATACGTACTGTCACCGTGTGTTTGCTAGCAGGTCGTTTACCTGGTGGTTGCCTGCCTCGGGGGGTTTGTTACCATATTATAACAGGTTTTAAACAAAAATGTCTACGATAATAGGCCAGATGTGATTTTTTAATTGATTTATCAAGCCTAAATAGCCGCATAAACCTTTGATGTAATCGGTATTTTATTTTAATGTTAGAAAGGAAGCAAGAAAGTACACAAACCAAAGGAACGGTGTGATTAAAAATGCTAAATTTCAGTGTTTTCCACATATTTGTGTCAGTGTTGTGTACCGCTCATATTTAAAAAAAAAATCACAGAAATAGATTATTTAGGAGTAAAGGTACACTTAGGCCGTTTTAAATACTGGCTTTAACCAGCAGATCTAGGCTTATAGTTTGTTTTTACTCTTATTTCTGTAAAGGATGGGATGCTAATCTTGGTGTTGTGGCAACTTTTTTTTTTTTGCTCAAACATGGCCTCCTTGATGATCGGCTACCTCAGCTTTTCACCTACTGATTGCTATCAGGTTATTTTATCTGTCTGCGATCAGTGAAAACGTGACGTTTTCAAGGTCAGTTAAGCATTAAGAATAAAAATCAAAAGCAGCCAGACTCGGATTCACTGCTGGTGGTTTAATCTCCGCAATAAAGTACACGAGCTTATGCCCGGTTCAAGGCGGCACCTATCCTGGCCTGGTGTCACTCCCTGCTGTGTTCTGACTTATCTCTAGCAGAGAAAATGGAGTTCCCCACATCTCATCCAGATGTGCGCTTCCTCCAATATCGAGATGAAACATAGCTCAAAAGTAAAAACCACCTTGTTGAGTGTAATGTGGTTTTGCAAAGTTATTCAGATGCTGCTGGAATCAATTTGGAAACACTCATTAAATCACATCTGCTTGGCGGATGTAGAGCTTTTGGAAGGATTTTTATTTTAGCTATTCTGCTTGTTGGATTTCCTAACACTGATGAAACTACTTTACTGACATTTCAGAAGAGAATTGGGGAAGTTGCAGAATGTTTTGTGAATAGTAAAATTGGCTTGAACAAGCATTGCTTGGTGTAGTGTGTAACAGAAAATGTCAGTGAGGGTAAAAACATGAGGGAGCAGTAATTAGTAGCTTCAGATTTGTTTCCTGAGTGTGTCTGTGCAGGATGCTGCTGTGAACTTTGATATGGCCACTGGCTCCCAAGAGGGAAATGCAACATGGCTGCTTTAGGAAGAAAAACTGAATGCGTTTGGAAACGTTTGTGCAAGTTGTCTTTTTCTGCCTCAGTCACTCCACATGTATGCATGAAGGGCAGTGGCTGAAAATTTGAGCTGTTCTAGAGATGTGTGTGCAGCTCATGCTGAAGTGTTTTTTTCTGTTTTTAGGTGGAATCATGGTTAAGACACGTGGCTGGTTGTGGAGCGCTTTAGGCCGGGATCCTGCAATCTGACAACAAGGCTGCAGAGCTGCAGAGGAGTGAGGAGTCGTCTCAGCCCGCAGCATCTTCAGCATCTCTTCCTGCTGTCCCTCTGGCTCGTCCCTGTCAGGTGACATCTGGCTGACTGAACCTTAAGACGTGGCTACGTTTGCTTCAGACTCCATCCACCTGCCTCTTGATTATTGTTTTATTCCCCTCTCCATACCATTAACCATGAGAAGCAGCAGGATGAACCTCCTCGTGGGCTGCATGCTTCTCTGTTCTGCCTCCTTGCTTTATTTGGGCATGAGCGGGATAGACTGCCCTCGTAAAAGTCATCGCTACCGATGGATGGAGCTCAATCTGGGCTCGGGCAATCAGAGCCTGTCCCTGACTGAACACTTCCCCGAAGACACTCCCATCATCTTCATCGGGGGCTTTCCTAGAAGCGGCACCACGCTGATGCGTGTCATGCTGGATGCCCACAATGCTGTTCGGTGTGGAGAGGAGACTCGAGTGATCCCGCGCCTCCTGGCCATGAGGGCCACCTGGAGTCGTTCGATTAAGGAGAGGATTCGACTGGATGAAGCCGGCGTCACGGATCAGGTGTTGGACTCAGCGGTGCGAGCGTTTCTGTTGGAGGTGGGTTGGTTGGTGAGGCTGAAAGTCACTTTCTGCTTTGTAAAACTACTTGATAGTTCAGGGCTCATCTTAGCTTAGGGACGGTATGTTTACAAGTAGAATTAACCTAGCTTGAAGGTGTTTTAAGAAGGATATCTACAGTGAAAAAAATCTTAAAACAGACTAATGTCTCAATCATGTAGGGAGGAAGGTTACATTGAAACAGCTCGTAATGCTTGGGGGTTATCGGTTTTCCGTCTTATCAAAAGGTTGCAAAGGGACGTCGTCTTTGTTTATAACTCTCCTGCCTTCACATTTCCTGGTTCCAAAGCTAATCATATTCAGCACCAGCATTTGTAATTTGACACCGACTGACAAAGAGCAACACCGTTGTGGATAAAAATGTTAGCCAGTAAACAGGAGCGACCCAGAAGTTATTTCTTGTTCCCCTCAGAAGCCACGGCAACTTTTTGTTTTACGCTAATATCAGGTAAAGAAGGCTAGAGGCTAACAGTGAGCTAACAATGTTAACTTTAACCTAACTGAAATTTCAATAAATTGTCGGCTCTAGGAATATCTCAAGCTACTTTTTTTATTTACCAACAACTCCAATATTACAGTGAAATGAATTTATTTACTTATCAGCTGACTGTGTATGACTTATCATCTAGACTCTGACGGGCCTCTCTTGTTTTGATACATGGATTGCAGTATCCAAATTTGACCACAGGATGTCATCGTATTTACTTCATGCACCTTTAACACTCTAAAATAACACTTACTAGTATCAGATACAAGAAAGCAACATATTTTGATAATGTTTAAATTGCATTAGCTAAAAATGTTCAGCAGTTTTGCAGACAATGTAAAATCCCTGTATTTATTTATTTTTTTCTATTTGTGCGTTCTAGATAATAGTCGGCCACGGGGAGCCTGCACCTCGACTCTGTAACAAGGATCCGTTTGCCTTGAAGTCTCTGTCTTATCTGGCTCGCATTTTCCCAAAAGCCAAATTTATTCTCATGCTACGAGATGGACGGGCAACAGTTCACTCCATGATATCACGGAAGGTAAGCATGTTTTGTTTTCAAGCTTTAGTCAATGCAGACTTCCTCACAGACGGTACAAATTTGTGCTAGAGTTGAAGTTTCTGTGAATAACTTTGTGGTTAGGACGTGAGTGTTGCACAGTGTTGGATCGCAGCAGGAGGTTTGTGGTTTAAAACTGGCTTTTGTTATGTGAACCGTGAAGCAGCTGTAGTTTTAAGTGTAAAGAGTCTCTCTTCGTTTGTGTTTTATGGTGATTAATGGATATGGTGAACACTCTTCTTCTTGTGTGCTTCTCAGGTAACCATCTCAGGGTTTGACCTGACGTCCTACAGAGACTGCCTAACCAAATGGAGCAGTGCTGTAGAGACCATGTTCAGCCAGTGCCAGGCAGCGGGGGAGACCAGATGTTTACCCGTCCATTATGAACAACTGGTTCTACACCCGGAGCAGGAAATGAAAAAGTTGCTAAGTTTCCTGGAGCTGCAGTGGGACCCGTCGGTGTTGCACCATGAAGAGCTGATCGGAAAGGCCGGTGGTGTGTCTCTGTCCAAGTGAGTATCTAAAAAGTTTCACACACCTGGGTAGAGTTTGGTTTACACAGTTAGGCTTTGGAAAGATGGTTTAGAGATGTTCTTATTTCTAGTTATTAGTTTTTGTTTGTGAGCAATTGTGTGTTGACCGTCAGAATGGTGATAAATAATTCAGTGTCAGAGCTCTTAAAACTTCAATACATTGAAATTAGCAAAGAGGAAAAAGAGCAAGATGGCATCGAAGGCTAATGTGGGCTTTCTAGCAGATGTGTTAGCAGCACGCCACATAATAAATGTGTTTTCACTTCAAACTCAGCGTAGCAGCCTTACCTAGCAGGAGCATTGTAGATGCTCATCAGCAGCAAAAGCTTTCCATGCAGCTGGTCACTTGAGATCACGAAATCACCGGACAGTTGTAAGATCACGTATGATTTTGGGAGTTCGCACAATAGCGAGAACAACGGCAGCACATGTCCAAAAGGTCTGTGATGTTTTTTCTGTTCTGTTTACCTCGGCTATTGAGGTTTCATTGCTAATGCTGTATTAGCAATGAAACTCTCTAAGTGTTTAAGCCGCACGTGATTGGTCAACTCCTCAATTAGCCCTCTGCTCCTCGTCTGCAGCGAGCAGGAGGAGGGGAGGAGCGGGTCATGCAGACAGGCACTGGTGTAACACAGAGCAGCAGGAGGAGGAGGTGAGAAAGGGGAAAAAATCACAGGCTACAGAAAGGTGAGGACATGAGTTAAAGCAGGAAATTAAGCCAGATTTAGACACATTTGACCAATGTTGACAATTCAAAGGAAGAGTGTGGACTATGGAAAGAAAAATTATCTTCTCAAGCAGGCTCTACAAAAGTCCCTGTGATATTATCTTAGTGTTTCTAAGTTATTTACCTGTGAATAGTTAAGTCTACAATTGTTTACTTAGTTTATTTTTGCTATTTAAAATTTGTTTTGTTGCACTTGGTTTAGTGTTGGATAGTTAGAAGTAATTTAAAGGGATATTATACAACTTTTTCTTATTTTTAAGTAATTTTCTTGAGCCAATATGTGCCAAAATGACCCTTTACAGGGTTAATGAAGTCACTCAGACCCCACCGCCCTCTGTAGCACTAGCCAGAATATCACACTTAACTTCAGTGTGGCGGGCCGCTGTTTAGCTGACATACCAGGGGTCTCATTTATCAAACATTGCGTAGAATCCTTACTAAAACCGTACTTAAGCTCAACAAAAAAATGTACTTACGCCAAGTAGGTTTGTGATCTATCAAACATGGAGTACGCACAGCTGCACGGAATCTGCTTCATAAATTGGAGACTAACGAGAATGTTTCTCAGCTGCATTTTAGTCATCCCGCCCTCACCACGCCCACTTACTGCCATAAATGGTCAATGCAAAGTGCCTTGTGGATCTCATGCATATACGTAAGCCGGCTGTTGCAGCGCTCCGCCAATGACATGGCGGCCGTAGATCAAGGAAGCGCAATTTCACAGAAGCAGAAATTGAGGTACCTGTGGGTGAGGTGGAGAAATGGAAGGAAGTGCTTTTGCAAAAAAAAAAAAAGAGAAAATCCACGGAGTGGCACAGCGTTGCTGAAGCCGTCAGTGTTGTGAATTCTTCAGAGAGATCTGTGGCGGATATAAAAAAAAAATGGTCCAATCGGGATTCGATCCCCAGACTCCCGGGTGAAAGTTGCGCGCTCTAACCAGTCAGCCAAACTGAGATCTCCCTCGTCCAAGCAGCCAGGGCGCATGATCAATCGGGTCACAGTGACAGGACACACACTGTCACAGATGCATGACATTCTGCCTCAATCTGTCCTCCTGCTGATATTCTGCATTCTGTATTCTGTGCTTCAGGCTGTGTGTGTGTGTGCGTGTGGGGGGTCTTGTTCTGTGTGGAAATGAAGCAGTACAAGTGATAATGCTGGAGGATTTCATAATTTTATCCTTCTCAGCAGCAGCTCTGCAGGTGCTCTCCATGTCCAAAATGTGCGTAAGCCAGGTCCTTAGTCAACTTAAAGTTAAGCACATTTTTCCGCTAAGTTTTCTTTCATAAATCCCAAAGTTTGCGTGGAAAGTTGCTTACGCAGTTTTCCGACCCCGTTTTGTGCGTAAACAAGCTTGATAAATGAGGTCCCTGGTGCTTCCAGCAGGTTTCCTGCTTGTTTTAGATCATGAACACATCTGATATGTTTGATTTAGTGATGAATCCCTTCTGTAGACGCTAATGACATTTCACACAGAGAGGAGATTAGTTTTGCTTTTGGTTCTACTAAACAGACTCTAGAGCTGCTAAGAACTGCCTAGTCTCCCTTTAAATAATAGAAAGTTTATTTGATGTAGGTTTGTAAATTGGTCAGTAATTTCACACACATTTTACATCATTTCTGGTGGTAAATTCATTTAAAAAACAAAAAAACGAGGAGCCGCTTAAGAACCAAACGAGCCGATTCGTTTTAGTGAGCCAAGCCGTAAGAACCGGTTCTCTTAAGGCGCTTACTCCTTAGCGTCAGCACGGTCTGGGTTTGGTGGGGCTGGATGGCTTAAGTTCGGTCTTGAACGAGCGGTGTAGTGTTCACATATAAATCTGAGGGACTTTGCAGGAATGTGGAAATTCCCGAGCCCGTGGTCGGAGTTTAATACGTGTGGGAAAGTCAGCGGTGTTCTCCATAATAAGGTAAACAAAGGCGGACATGAACTGGGGAGAAGGGCTGAGAAAAAGAGTCGCCACCGGCACTGAAAACGCAAATCTGGCCTGTGTGTGAAACCAAAGTTCGGTGCCGTTCGAAACCTTTTGGGGCCGTGCCGACACTAATGTGTAAGCGCCATTAAAAGAGCCGGAGTTCCCATCCCTAGTGGACGTGGTTTTTTTATTTTAGCCCCCGAGACATTTTCATTCAGAGGTTTAACATCTGTTAGATCCGCAGCTGTTCGGTTCGGGAGGCAGTTTAAACCTAATAAACATGACTAGTCTCTATGACCTGTTTACTCTGAATTTCCCCTCTTTAAGACTCATGGATGTAAAAAGCTGGCTCTTTTACAGAGGGTAGAGACACAACATTGTTTATAAACTGAGATAATGGCACTCATTTGGACTTCGGAGATGTGAGCGGTGTGCTTTGATCAGTGTAGAGGTTTCAAACTCAAAGCAAGACTGTTTATTTGATTCCTCTCTGCTGCTTCTGAAGCTGTATTTTAGGATTAAAGGGCTTCATTGCATTTGTTTGTCATGTAGACTTCATGAAAGAGATATGGTTATACATGGTCAGTAAAACGATATAGTGATTATCAGAAACGAGATTCGAAACAACAGAGCTTTTCTCTAACTAACCTTGTTGTCAGTAAAGATATTAGAAAACACCATTTACTGACACGATCAGAATTTTCTTCCTGGTTTTATTGCAATCAGTGGCCAACTTTATGTCAGTGGCGTTCTAGGTGTGAGGAACATGTTTGCATTTTTTGAGAACTTGACCTTCAGCGATGTAAACGAGATGGCGTGATCTTCTGGGGATCCGTTGTTCCAACGTGCAAACTCGTGTGGATCAAAAGAGGAAGTTGTGACGGAAGCAGGCGTAACTAAGGGATTTAATCGGGGTGCCAGCCAGGTCTCTCTCCTGACATATAAGAAAAAAAATTATTAACAACTTTCCCTTGTAACACACACTCACTTCACAACACAAAGGATGTAAACAATTTGAAGTGCTTATCACCCTAACCTGGACTGAAACAAACAAACCCAAATAATCACATAAGCATAAGGCAAAAGATCTTTTGCAACAACATATATACTAATTAATGGAAGGTCTGAAAGTTCTGTTCAGATAAATTCTGTTCCGTCAGATAAATTCAGTTCTGTTCAGATAAATTCTGTTCCGTCAGATAAATTCAGTTCTGTTCAGATAAGTTCTGTTCAGATAAAGTCCAAAAGAAAAATGTACGTCCATAATACACTCGGCAAAAAAAAACAAACTAAGATTGTCATCGTAGATTCAGTATACAGCAGCTGCAGCAACCGCTGCGTCGATCAGCTGTTCACTCACGGTACCGCTGAGGACCCGACAGGCCGCTGCTACGGCGGTTCACCAGAACACACGCTCCCAGCTCCAGCACATCAGATAAGTCACATAAGTCCGCTAGACTCTCCCTAGTCGTTGGTGCGATAATCCTTAGTCCATAACACCGCTTGGCAGCGTCCGATCGAGCTCACTTCCCCCTGCTTTCAGCGTCCTCCAGACAGGTGTGGGAGTACCACCCTCGGGGCGGGGCGGGGCGTGTCTCCTAAATCACCTCTTGTAGAAGTCAGGCAGACAAAACGATCAATAAAACAATACTCAACGTGATGCGGCCTTTCTCTTAGGTCACAGAAATCAGCAACAAAAATAAAGACAATAACCTCCAAACTGTATTTCACACATATAAGTAATTTAACAAGTTCAACCAAAGCCGATAGGCACCAGGTGACAGACATGGGCTGTTACAAAGTGAGGCTGTTTTATTTAAATCATCAGCCCTCCACTGCTCATAAATAAATGTTTCAATTGTTTCTCTGCTGGAGGCTTGAACAGATTCACGTCAGTGACGTTGTCCCAAAAAGTTTGTGTTTTGTTCGGAAACAATTTTGCACATCTTAGTTTTATGGCATTTCTCGGAGCGATGCACTCCACTAGACTCCCAGCTACACCCACAAAAGCTGCAGCTTTTGGATTATTAATTTACACTGAAGAGAGCTAAAAATACTGCTAGCAAACTCAAAAAAGAGAAGAAGAGTGTTTACTTTCCACTGAATTACAGCCAAACTGTTTCAAGGTCAGGCGGAGCTTACAGACCTCCACGGTAGATTGTTAGTTTACATTGCTCTGCTCGTTTGTCGCCATCTTTAAGCAGACGCTACGCTAAAGAGATTTGCTGGGAATCTGGCTGCCGCTTGCTGCTAAACCGAAATCTGGAGGAATTAGGTCATTGTCTGAGGGAATGAGCACTTTTTTAAAAATTAGTTATGAAACAACCAGCGCTGTATTAGTCACACTGAGGTTTTATAATGCTGTCAGAAATCGTGGCACTTTGTGCCTCAGAAACGTCTGCACAAGCTTAAAGGTTTAAAACAACAGCTTAAGCCTTTTGAGAGCAGGGTTTCCTTTATTATTTAGTCTCTGGGTTTTTCCTTTTCAGCATGATGAGTGATCTTGTTGCTGTACTTTTCAATGTTTTATTACTTTTGTACTGGTGGCTCTTTTAGCTGTATGTTATCATATTCTAATTATGATGAGCCATTGTAAAAAAGATGATGATTTAGTCTCTACCCCTGTGTGTGTGTGTGTGTGTGTGTGTGTGTGTGTGTGTGTGTGTGTGTGTGTGTGTGTGTGTGTGTGTGTGTGTGTGTGTGTGTGTGTGTGTGTGTGCGCGCGCGCGTGCACAGGGTGGAGCGTTCCACAGACCAGGTGATGAAGCCAGTGAACACAGAAGCCCTCTCTAAGTGGGTGGGGTACATTCCCCCCGACGTGATCAGAGACATGGCTGAAATCGCCCCCATGCTTGCTCGCCTGGGCTACGACCCCCACGCCAACCCCCCCGATTACGCGAAAGTGGAGCCTTTTGTTTCCCCTCTAAACGTCTCTCAGGTGAGACTGAAATCTGTCCTCGCAGATGTCATCTTCACTATTTTGGGCATTATTCACATCATTTATCACGACTAGATTAATTTATTACAACTTGGATACATTTAAAAACATTTTTATTTATTTACCAGAGTAAAGCTCAAAAACACGAGCTGTTTGCCATTTATGATAAGTAGCAAAATAATTCAAGAATGACGGATTGCAATGAAACTCTTAGAAAGTAATTGTTGGATGAGTCAATGTGATTCAATATGGCCGCCACAGCTGAACAGTATCAGCAAAAACAAAAAAGCTAAAAGTCTGTCTGTTTTACAGATATTAATATTCTGTTTTTACAGTGAGTTATTTTTTTAAGACTGATCTGATTTGAAATAAAAAATATTATTTCATATGTCGCAATCATCTCAAGGTCGAACTCTTGACAGTGGAGAGGTAAAAATGTTTCTGGTTGAGCTAAACTGTGCTGCTAACTATTAAACCTGTTGTTGTGGAGGTTTGTCTGTGTTTTGTCTGGATGAGTGAATATTGTTGTTTTTTTCCTTAGAGAGTGAAAACAGCAGACTCTCCTCACCCCAGCTAAGCCCCGCTGCTCTGTTCCGCCACACAGACGCACCTTACACTCGGACTTCCAGCTCAGCAGTAGACGCCTCACAAGAGAGACTTAATTGTTACATGTGTAATTCTGAATTGTTCTCGAGACTCGTGTGGTGTGTGTTTCCCCGTACGCCAGTGGGATGTTTAAACAGCAGACTCCTCTATTTGTTTGAGGTTTACATCTGCTCACTAGTCATTGCCTCCTCTATGGTGAGCTGTCTCTGCATTCTGACACATCCTTCATGAAGGCGTTTCAGCACGCCTGTAAGTTGTAACGACTTCATCACAATGTGAATTTCTTCAAATGATCCACTGACAGCTCAGTGTTCATGAATGACTGTATATTTTTGAAGATGTATGTTTATTTTCTCAAGAAATTATTTTGATGTTGGCCATTCATCAAATGATTTTTGATTGTTTATTGCTAAATATGAATAAAAAGAGAAAAATGTCACATCATTTTGTTGTGTACATGGTTTGTTCACAAGTGAATCTGCAGTTACGTGGCACACAGCGCCCTCTAGTGGCTTCTGATCAATTCTACATCTTTTCAATTTCATTTACATTAATAAAAAAAAAGAACAAACATCTGTGCGTTACAGTTTTTATCCTTGAGTTTTAAAGTGTGCCACCAGCACTATGACAGGTTGCACCTCCTCTCTGGGCACGTCGGGTGGCCTCGCCTCCCCGCTACTCGGTAGGTTGATGGAAGACGTTGGAACTTCTGAGCTGCACCTGATCATGTAGAGGAAACATCTGGAGAACTGAGAGAGAAACACAGGTGGGAGGAAAATGCACGTTGATGTGTAGATTTATGTTACTTAATTCACAGACTAGATGCACATTATTTGATTTTCTGAGCTGGATCATCAACAATACTTAGTGTGTTTTTATTTATTTTTTACTTATATAGAACTTTGTTCACGAGTTTTAATCGATTGTGTTTCAATTCTTGAAGCTAAAAATGTATAAATACGAGCCAAAAACTGATCACACCAATTCTTACGATTCAGTCGGTGACTGAAATTTCCCCCAAAGAGTAGAGCTCTGTAACACACACATCCGTTTTTGAAGGAACTCTGCTGGTAGGTTGTTCCCATTAATGACCATTTCAACCTGCTCATGGCATTTTTGTTCAGTAGCACCTGTTTGGTATAATTGGTTAATCATACATCTGAATATAATTCTACTAAATCTATGACTGTGTGCAAGGGCACCTGAGGACGTGGACAAACTTGTTGGGACCCTTTGGTCATTGAAAGAAAAACCCACAATGGTCACAGAAATAACTTTAATCTGACAAAAATAATAAATTAAATTTCTATGAAATGAAACCAACAAAAATTGTTGCTCTTCAACCATTTTTCAGTGACATTATAAAAAAAACTCATGTAACAGGCCTGGACAAATGCAATGGTACCCCTAGAATAGACTGAAAATAACGTGACCAAAGGGGCGTGTTAATTAAAGGCTATAAGACCATCAAGCAGCTAGATGCTCCTGTGGCTACAGTTGCACATATTATTCTGAAATTTCAGACCCATGGGACTTTAGCCAACCTCCCTGGATGTTGCCGCAGGAGGAAAATCAAATCAAAGAGACGGATAATCCGAATGGTAACAAAAGAGCCCAGAAAAACTTCTAAAAAGATCCAAGGTGAGAACTTCAAGCTCAAGGAACATCAGTGCCAGATCGCACCACTCGTCATTTGTTTGAGCCAAAGTGGACTTCATGGGAGACGACCAATGAGGACACAATTGTTGAAAAGAAATTATAAAAAAGCCAGACTATGCCAAACTACATGTTGACAAGCCTCAAAGATTCTGGAAGAATGTCCTAAGGACAGATGCGACAAAAATTAAACTTTTTGCTGAGGCACATCAGCTCTATGTTTACAAATGGAAACTGTCCTTACTGTGAAACACGGAGGAGGCTCTGTTATGTTCTGGGGCTGTTTTGCTGAATCTGGTACAGGATGTCTTGAATCTGTGCAGGGTAAAATGAAATCTCAAGACTAGCTTGGTCTCTGTCACTTTAAGGAAACAACCAGGATCTGGCCATGCCCACCCATCACATAACTGGCTGCTATAAGCCGAGAAGCTCTGATATCTTTGAGGGCCTCTAATAGAACTGCTGCTCCTCTTGCACGCTAAAGGTAGTTGTATTCTAATTTTCCTGTTTGTGGCTCACTGACAGAAAATGAATGGATGAATTTTTTTTCACATTTGGAGTGTTTATAGAGGCAGTAGAAACCCACATGGCAGCACTAAAGGACGCAAAAGGTGAGTTTTGTGTAAAATGTCCCCTTTAAATGTCAATGTTATCAGTAGAGCAAAATAAAATGCAAATAATGGATCATCTTAAAATTTGAGAATTAAATATTGTTTTTAAACTGCTTAATAAAATACAGTTTACTCACATAAGATATCTGCTGCACCAAACTGGCTTTTATGAATTAAAAAACATCTTATTTTACTTGGTTGTTTAGCAGCACGTAGACGACGGGGTTGAGAACGGTGCTGGTCTTCGCGAGCAACAAAGGGACCACGCTGGCAGTAGGCGTCACCAAACCTGGTCGACCAAAGGAGGCAACCATAGCCGTGACACCGTAAGGCATCCAGCACAACAGGTAGCCCATCACCATGGCAACCACCATCAGGAGGACTCGGCCTTCATTCCGTTCAGCCGAGAAGAGGTTGTTTCTTCCCACCTGGAGGGGCAACACTGCTTTCAATTGCTGGTCAAGGTGTAAAGGTCAGAGGTTAAACTGTGAACTTGCTTGTCTCGTTGCGCTCCGCACAGCCAGCAGGATCCTACTGTAGCAGTAAAACATGAGCAGCAGCGGCAGAAGGAGGCAAAAGATGAACAAACAGCTGATGTAGGAGCGAGCGGTGATGGAGCGATGCCGCCACTGGACTGAGCAGACGGTACCAGGACCTTCTGGTCCATAACTGGGGAGAGATTAGGAGGTTTTTTAAGTCTGATGAACAAAACTGAGTTGCACTTGTTGAGAAGGTTGTAAATTCCCCCATGTTTAGGGTGTGAATCATAACAGACCTGCCCCAGCCCAGCAGAGGTGGCAGAGTCCAGACCAGTGAGTAGAACCAGGAGCTGGCTACAGAGAGATGGGCTCTGTGGTTCTGAGAGGAGTTCAGGTGGGAACCGTGGACCAGAGTAGAGTATCGCTCAAAGGACAACAAGGAGAGAGACACCAAAGATACCACACCTGTGACACACACACACACACACACACACACACACACACACACACACACACACACACACACACACACACACACACACACACACACACCATGGAGATAAAGATACATTTACAAATAAAATAAGAAAAGTAGGTTCAATTTAAAAAGAAATCATGATTTTATTTGCATTTTACAGATAAAAATAAGACTTATTTTGATCTAAGAATCCAGTTATGAGACGCGCTTTTAGGATGTTGTATCAGCCTTGTTCAAATAATGAGGTTATTTCTAAAGATGTTTTCAGCATCTAGTTCGTTTAACTTTGGATCCTTTTGTTTTTGCTTCATATGATGACAATGATGATGATAATTACCAAAAAGCGCATTGCAGAAACCATACCACCGGCACCCGTAGGTCCCGGTCAGCCACCTCCCGCGCAGACTGGCGGCGAAGCTGAGAGGAGTCCCGAAGAGGCAGACGAGCATGTCGCTGATGCTGATGTTGATGAGAAGCAGGCCGACCGGGGTCCGCAGCCCGGGGAAGCGGGAAAACACCAGGAGCACCAGGAAGTTACCGAGGAAGCCCAGAACCAGGATGGACCCGAGAACAACGGCCGCCGCTGTGTGACCCGCCCGACTCAGCCCGGGACTCTGCCCGGTGAGGTTGTGGCTTTGCTGCAGGGTCGCCATGACAACCAAAGTAAATACGCTATTCTTACGTAAACAACACGCAGATTTGATAAATAAAAAGGAGTTTGTACAGAAAAACACTTCGGAGTAATTTAACCAAACGTGCACCAGAACGTGATGGTGAAGAAGTGGGAGGGTACAGCATCTGTGCCCCCACCCTGCCGACAAACCAAACAACCATGTAATAACTATTAAACACTGGGAAAATATAGAATGTGTGCTTTTTAAACACATTATTCTGAACTATATGGAAAGAGAAAAAAATCTGCTTAAATAAAATCATTTTCAATGTCTGATTTGTTCTTATTTCTAGAGCAGATTGAGGATCCTAATAAATAAACCAACTCGTCAATAATTCAAGCTCAGCCATGAGACATGTGGCTAATAAATAAACATACTGTTTATCTTGAGTCAAGAAAGCAGTTTTTTCCACCTACTCTGCAAGTCCTCACTCCGATGAAGGGTCTTTGTTGGAAACTGCAGGGAACTATTTATAATGTGTATGAAAAGTATATTGTGCATTTTCAGAAAATTTATTTTTATATTTGTAACCCAGAAGCTAGAACCTTAATGAGGTATTAACTAATTGGCTTACTAATATGATCCATCCTCAATTTAGATAAAATATAAAATATAAATTAAGGAAATTAACAATACTAATTAATAGATATCTAATTAACTAATAGATAATTTCATAATGAATTATTGGAAGGGTGAATAACTAAAATAACGAGTTTAATATTAAACATCGGTTAAAACAAGAATCTTGAACATCACTAACAGAAACAGAAGAGGAAAGCTGTATACTATTGGTCCAGGTGGGAATCTGAAATTTCATTGGCTGAGAGAAATAAGTCCCGCCTCCGCGAAATAAAACCGTGCGACGCAGCTGAGCGAGAGGAGAGACAAACGGCTGTGCAGCACGCAGATACAGAAAGCAAAGACTGAGCGGTTAGAGAGAGAGAGAGAGAGAAAAAAAAACAACGGTCGAGGCCGTGAAGAACCCTGATTTGGGTGCCGCATAGATAGAGGGAGAGGCGGACTTGACTCCTTCTAATAAGAGCTAGGAACTTGGAACCAACGCGGTGAGTAAAGAAAAAAGAAGAGAAAAAGCTAACGATGCAACTTAAAAAAAAAAAGGAAACTTAAATAGCTTATCAAATTAATTCCATTCTTATAGATTTGTGTGGAGACGACAGAGTGAACCACTCCTCTGTAGGAGGGAACCGTTGGAGCGCGTTGGTGAGTGAATGAGATTAAATTCAGTAAATTATTAAATTTAAAAAGCTAATTACAGCAACCGAGGTGACAGCAGTGGGCTGCTAGACGTTAGATCCCAGGAGTTAACATCTCAAACTACCAGTTAACGGTGGTAGGGCATATAGGAGTTAACGGCTCAAACCGCCAGTTAACGGCGGTACGGCATATGGGATTCCCAGGAGTTAACGGCTCAAACCACCAGTTAACGGCGGTACGGCATATGGGATTCCCAGGAGTTAACGGCTCAAACCACCAGTTAACGGCGGTACGGCATATGGGATTCCCAGGAGTTAACGGCTCAAACCACCAGTTAATGGTGGTACGGCCTAGATGTACAAGGTCCTCAGGGGCGTTATAGCTAACGCCATAGAATTAGCAATGCGTCCCTTAACCAAACATTTAATAATAAAAAAAATAGATAAATAAAAATAAATAAAAGCTAACTGATTAGGGAGGAATTATTTTACAAAGGTGGACCAAAGGACCAGAATTTATATTTTGTTGAATTTTGTTATAGAACATTTTATTTATTTATTTATTTATTTATTTATTTATTTATTTATTTATTTATTTATTTATTTATTTATTGTGTTACAGATATACAAGGTGTCACAATGCTGTATAGAAACACAACTAAATGTATCCTTGTTGTCATGAATGTATTTCTTGTTGAATAGTGTAGAGTAATAGAATCTAACTGAGCCTATTGAGCTGAACAATTGTTGTCATATGTAATTATATTTCCAGAGCTACTGAGAATTATTTTAATAGACAATCAAATTGATGTTATGTTAGTTGAACTGTGAACCCAAACATGATTGGCTATGCCAATAGAGTGAAGCATTTGTTTAAGTCTGTAAGACTTTATGCTGTGATGTGACGAGAAGGGTCGATGCCAACTCGCTAACAGTCCTGTTGTTTACAGGCTGGGTTTTTTTTTTTTCCTTGGGTTTGATCCCGACTCCTATGATCACTCACTTGGAACGAGAACTGGATTTCTTCCTGACGAGGGAGATGGCGAGCCTTAACCACTGAACGAACCAGGACATCTCAAGTAACTGAAGAGCAGACTGCTCTCTTCTGTGAACAATCTCAACGGTGTGGTAGGAAAAAATCGCACCACCGGACTCTGACTTTCACCCCAAGCGTGGGGATTTGACTTGACGCCGGCTGACTTGTGACTCATATGATCAAATCTCATACCGACCAATTTACTATTGTCGATTGTTTTCATCTGTTTTTGTGTGTTATCTTTATGTGTTATATTTCCCATTATTATTAAAATTTAGTATATAAACCGTTTCATGCTATACCCGTGACTCCAGTCATTCTTAAACAACCTCCAATTCTCCCCGAACCTAATTATTGGCCCATTTGTTTATTTTTTCTTTTAATTATCTTATTGTATCCTGTAATCCGGTTACATAAAACTTGGCGAGCCAGCCAGGAGAATTGTAGAGTTGTTACCTTAGCTAACCATTGACTGACATCATAAGAGTGCCTGGAGGTCACAGTGGTTTGCCATTTTGGCATTATTGGTACTTTTGAGTGTTTTAAAATGGAAGTTGTAAAAACAGAAAAGGTCAAGGTTTCAAATGCTGTTTTAATCAGTGGGTTAACTGATACAGACCTTGATAACGAAGTCTTTGGGTTTATGGAAGGATTCGGACCAGTTAACAGGCGCATTAAGTTACCAAACTGTGATCAGATTATTGTGGAGTTTCAACATGAAGCCACTGTTAAGGAATTAAAGAAACAATGTTTACCCTATGACAAACCTTGTACTAGGAACCCAGATGTTTTCTTCCATATTCAAGACCTAGCCAGCGCGTACAGTCTAGAAACTAGCACATCTGCCACTGATGCCTATCTGTCAGAGCTCAGGGACATAGCTGCGCGTAGCAATCAATCATTTAAAGACCTTCTAATGGAGGAACTGGCAAAAATTGGGGAATCTTTAGGAAGGGATACCCATGCATCTGAACCAGTCACTGAACCAGAGCCAATGCTCCATAGTGACCAAGTTACATATTCCCTGCCTTTAACACCAGAAGTTAACTATATGAACAACTCAAAGGACAATTGTCCACCTACAGAGACTGGAAAACAAAACCCTTGCATTCCACCAAATCTTTTAAACACACCTGAGGTTCAGCGAGTTATTGTGGAACACATTGTTAAAAGCAGTGAGGTTATCCCTCCGCCTACTTCACAATACAGACTAAAACCGTTCTCAGGGCGAGTTCCACACCCTTCTTTTGAAACTGACTATGATACTTGGCGTAGTAGTGTAGTGTTATGCATAAATGATCCTTCACTCACCAAGTCCCAAATTGTACGAAGAATCGTGGAGAGTCTGTCAGCCCCAGCAGCGAGCATCGTTAAAGCTCTTAGTCCAAAATCCGACCCGGAAACGTACCTTGAACATCTCGATTCAGCTTACGCAGCTGTCGAAGACGGCGACGAGCTCTTTGCTCGCTTCTTAAACACAAACCAGGACAGTGGTGAAAAACCTTCCGATTACTTTCAGAGGTTATACACCTTGTTAAACCTAGTTATTCAGAGGAATGGAATTTCCTCCAGTGACGCCGACCAGCAGCTGCTCAAGCAGTTTTGCAGAGGCTGTTGGGACAGCTCGCTGATTTCAAACCTGCAACTCGAACAAAAGAAAGACAACCCGCCTCATTTTACAGCACTTCTCCTCAAACTGCGCACTGAAGAAGACAAACAGGCTACTAAAGCAGCACGCATGAAACAACACTTAGGGGCACAACGAACTAGAGTGTATTCAAATGTGCAAACAACATGCTCTCAGAGTAAAAACACTTGTGAACTGGAAATAGATGATAACTGTGATGACTTACGCAAACAAATCGCTGAGCTCAGGAGCCAAATTGCACGGCTTAAGGTTAACAACACAGATAAAAAGGCAAAGAAAACTCAAAAAGAGTCAAAACCCCGTGTGGGGACTAAAATTCCAGATGAGCCCAAACAGATTCAGCAGATAACAGCAGTGGTGCCCAGACCAAAGCCTGGATACTGTTTTAAGTGCGGAGAAGATGGGCACATAGCTTCTAGCTGTAGCAACGAGCCAAATCCAGCACTAGTTGCAACTAAAAGACTTGCTCTTAGACAGAAGCAGCGCGAGTGGGAGATGTCAAAGCCAATTGCTCAGTCTCCTCCTTTAAACCGGTAGAAGCTCCTATCGTGGGACAGATAGGTGCTAAAGTAGAACCAAGTCCCTCTAAGGAAAGGACAGAGAGACTTTTTTGCAAGCCAGTTCATGCTCATTCAGTGCCAAAACTTCCCAAAAGATTAGTGGGTGGGCGATGCACAGCTACAGTCTCAGTTAACAGTGTTGAATGTAATTGTTTACTGGATTCAGGGTCCCAGGTAACCACCATTGCCAATTCTTTTTACCAAGAACACTTACCTGACCTCTCAATTAAACCCATCAGTAATCTGTTAGAAGTCGAGGGCGCAAACGGTCAAGCAGTTCCTTATTTAGGATACATAGAGATAAGTGTCACATTTCCAAAAGAGCTCGATCAGTCTGGACTTGAGTTACCTACCCTTGCGTTAGTGGTTCCGGATATAAGCTCAAACTCTGATACACCACTACTCATTGGCACAAACACACTCGATCCTTTGTATGAGCAATTGTCTGCCAATAACTTACCTGATTCCAAGGCACTCTCTTATGGGTACCAACACGTGCTAAAAGCCTTAGCAGTCAGAAAAAAACAAAGCAAAGATGGACGAGTTGGTGTGGTGAAGCTTCGAGGGAGAACCCAAGAAGTTCTCCCTGCAAATAAAAAACTGTTACTAGAAGGGTTTATGCAACCCAGCCAAAACAAGCATGAGCCTTATGCACTCATTGAACAACCCACCAATGGTTCTCTACCAGGGGGTATAATTGTAGATTGTTGCCTCATTTCCTTACCTTCACATGGTCCATACAAAGTACCTGTTGTACTAAGAAACGAAACTAACCATGACATCACATTACCCACTAACTGTGTGATCGCTGAGTTAGTTAAAGCCGATCGTGTTATGCCATATCCAGAACCTGACAAAAGTGATCAGAAAGTACTTGCGGCGTGTAGTTCGCAGCAACAGACTTCACCTTCAAACCCTCCTCTCAGTTTTGACTTCGGTACTTCGCCCTTGTCCGAAGAATGGAAAGGGAGGATCACCAACAAACTTAACACTTACTCCGATGTGTTTTCGCACCACGATCTTGATTTTGGTCATACACAACAGATAAGACATCACATCAAC